GTCTTACGAATGCACTTTCTACTATAAAAACTCTTAATGTTTTTATCTTCTTTGGAACACTTCTGGACTTTTGCCTTCCTGTGTTCCCATTTACATATCTAAGACTCTTGAATAGACCTTTATCCTTTATTTCTAACAAAGCCCCCAGGCTAATTTTTATTTTGTTTGACAAGTTCTACTAACATACACACACACACACACACACACACACACACCCCACTGGCCTGGCCTCTCAGACACTTTGCTTTCTCCTAGAATTTTCCCCCAGCCCAGTGGTATTTGCACAACTGAGAACCCCCTTTTCCCTTCGTTTAGAGAAGAACAAGCTGGAATTTCTCAAAACAAATGATTGTTAAGAAAACTGGGGGGAAATCCCCATAAAGAACAAAGGGAACGTGAGGCTTTCAGAGAGACCCGTGGTCTTCAGCCCCGAGGTCCTTAAAGCAGGACCTGAGGACAGGGGCATAAGAGCCATCTCCGAGGGAGAATGGGACTTTCCAAGTTCTCTGGGGACTGAGCCTGCAGACGCTGAGGAAGGAGGCCATGACACCTGCCTGCCCCAGTGCCCCGTCACAGGACTGCCCACAGCAGCTTCCACGGCTTCAAGACGCTGAGCCCTGAAACGTTATTTTTCTCTCCCAGTCAGTCAGCAGGGGTGACTGGCTTTGCCTCCTCTAGGGACCTGGGCTCCATGGGGTCCCCTCACCTACAGGCTAAGAAGAGAGGCAAGAACTCCATCGCTGGGTTGAGGATGGAGGGGCCACCTGGAGCTGCCCCTTTAGTGAGACAGGGGGCAGCTGAGAGCCTCGTGGCTGCCCTCTGGTGGCCATCGTGGGTAGTCAAGAACCTCCACGCCAGCCTGCACTGTGGTCAGTTCCATGTGTTGGACAACTTCCCTGTAAGAGATCATTCGCTCCCCAGTCCTTTCCTGGTCTGCAGCTCTACAGTTTAGATACAGATGACGAAAACGGAGCACAGCTCTTTCCCTGAACCAGGCAGCTTTCACGTGGTGGGATTTCTTTCCTTTCCAAATGGTTTAACTTCAATTCGGTTAGGAAATAGGATCTCCTACACTTTTATTTCAATGAGCGTCCGCTAACCAGCTCTGAGTCCTTTATCTTGGGATCTACTGTGATAGCAGTAACTATAGCCAGGATGGACCTGATGGGGGGGGGCCAGGCTTTTTCTTCCAACGCTGGGAAATGTGCCCTGCACACCTTTCCCATCTCCCTCCCCCAGCTGGAAGAAGCTGCCCTTGGCAGGACCCGGAGCGGCCAGCTGTCTGCTCCCTCAGCACCATCGCTCGCCGTGACTCTGCTCAGATGGCTCCTCTCTCAAGCTCTTTGAAAGAGCAGCCTGTGTTGTGCTTGCTTCCAGAATCCTTTCCCACGGGGGTTACAGACTAATAGTCACTTTTATTGTCAGTGGCAGGGCCGCCGTCATTGTCGGCGTGAGCTCCTGCCCTCCCAGGGATGACACATGCCAGATGCTCTATAAACGTGTAAAGCGTGCGTGTGCATGGGCTGCGGAGCCAGCAGCGTGCTCAGTGAAGGGGTGAAGGACGGGTTGGATGGGTTTCCAGCTCTCCCCTCTCCGTAAGCACAATCCTGGCTTTGTCCCGTCTTAGGCAGCCTTCCTTCAGCTCTCTGGGAACGGTGTCTTTGCCTGAAAAGCAGACCCTATCCAAGCCTCAGACCTCCCCACCCCCCAGCCTCCGGGCTCCTACAGGCTATTCCTCTGAATTCTCTCTTCTCCCCTCCGTGTCTCCCCCTGCGGTTGTGTGCATCAGATCACTGGTCCATCAAAGATCCCACTCCCTCTGCCTCCACCCAACGGGGCCAGGGCGAGGATGAGGCAGGAGAGGCGCCTGGGGCCAGGCGGATTGAAGGAGGCATCCCCTCAGGGGCATGGGTGTGTGAGCGCGCCATCTTCCTGCGGGGGGCGGAGGCGGTCCTTCCCCTGGATCGCAGGGACCCACGCACCGGAGATGGTGGTGTGGTGAGCTTCGTTTTGGGTGGAGATAGAAGGCTGCCCCCAGTTTCCCAGGTCTCATCTCTGTCCATCCTCTGTGGACGAAGGCCAGCATTGTCTTCACCAAGCCCCATACCAAGGCCCAGGTGAGAAAGTCCTGTGCCATGTGAAAGCAGAGTTCGTGTCTGTCCCCGTTCGTATGTGTCCCCGTCCCCGTCCCCTGTGCTCAGCTGGCCCTGTGGCCGCGCTGGGTCCACTCAGCTGCCGGCACAGGTGATGGCTAGACTTACATGATCACCACAAAATTCGTGACCAAACACAGGACTAGTGAGAGAGAGAAAGAGAGAGAGAGAGAGAGAGAGAGAGAGAGAGAGAGAGAGAGACCGCCCTTTGTCAGGATGATTATATTATCTGGAGCTTGGGAAAAACCAGGCACTTCTTCAAACTAACCATTCAACTCCCCAAGCTTCCCTGGGCTTGGGATGTGTCCACCCCTAACCAATCTATTCCTCCATCTCCCAGGATTTGGTCCCTTATCCAGGCCACACAGACAGGCCTCTGCAGTTGCCTTCTTAGCTTCTGCTGCACATGCGCCCCGCAGAGTAATTTCTTCAGTTGTTTTTATTCCCTAGAGGGTGGAGGAAGATTCCCGAGGGGGGTGGGGAGGGGGAGGGCAGCTATAACTTCTTAGTGAAGCACTTCGAATATTGGATTTTGCTTCCCAGTTTATTATGCTTAATAATGTCTGGTTCCCTTTGCTCCCTGCCTTTATTAATATCTAGTTACCCAGGCTAACACACTCAGGGTATTTGAGGTGCATCCAGTCCACACATGCTGCCACCTCCCAGCTCTGCTGCCTGCACTTTCGGGCAGGGGGTGGGAGGGCGTGGGCCCCGGCCCCAGGCAGCAGCCTTCAGGGCTGGCCAGGTCCCGGTGGCTTGCTGTGGCTTGCTGTGGGCCGGCAGCTGCCGCAGCAGCTTCTCCATTCTATGGAAACTGGAAACCACACAGTTGCAGACAGACAGGAAGACGGAGCGTAGGTGGGGTTCCTCCTGCACTCTCAGCCCCCATCCCAGGCACAGCCGTGAAGTCTCCCCCACTCTGCCCTCCTCCTCACCCCTGGCTCCTAAAAGCCTGCTGAGTGCTCGCCTTTCTATCCGGGCTCTGCCTCTGCCTCCTTCCCTGCCCCACCCCCTCCTCTCCTCTAACACCCCCCCCTTTTGTCCCTCCTCCCCTCTCTGCCTGGAGGAAACACAGCCTTCAGGCCAGTCCAAGGAGCTAGACAGGGCATCGCATGGGCATGGCGCACCTTACACACCCACCCCAGTTCCCCCGGCCCTGAGTCTCTGCCCCATTCTCCAGGTTTATGTGAGCTCAGGCAGCTGTTTGGCCACAGTCAACACCTGCTCCCCGCCCCAGTTCCAGCCCCAAGCCCCAACCCCCAGCCCCCAACCCTCAGCCCCCAGCCCCAGCCCAGCCCCCAGCAGAGATGGGCTGATGGAGCTACTGTGCCTATATCAGCTTCCAGAAGGGCAGGGAAGACTGGGGCAGCCCACTGCCAGCTGCTCTCTGAGGAATGCAGGAGCCCTTGACCTCACAGCCAGTTGACTCCAGAACACCCTGGAGCAGCCAATACTGTGGTCTGACCAGTGAGTGGCCGCCGGGGACTCTTGCCCTTCCTGCACCTTCCTCCCTTCCTCGCCCCATTTCCCCAGCTGTCACACACCCTGAGGTTGTCCCTGCGGGGAGGGAGGGTATCTCCTAGTTCTCACTGACCTCCTCCTGCCTCCTGGTCAGTTTCCCTACCTTCCTCTCAAGGAAAGGCCAGGAGAGACTGCACCTATTTCCTGCTCCGATGGACCACTCAATGCGGGTTTTGCAAGGAGGGGCGTGACTGGCAAAAATCCCGTACTTCCAGCCTCCCGGCCCGCCCCATACTCAGACTTGCTCATCCCACTTCACAGGAGCTGGGAGACACCACCACAGGGCAAGCCTGTCCTTGGCTCCTGGGGGCAGCAGCCAAGGGGGCCTGGTCCCTGCCTCACGGAGCTCCCAGCCTGGGAGGACAGACTGGGAGCAGGGCTGCTCCACCTCCACAGGCCTTATCTGCATCTCCCTAGCCCTCCTCCCTCTCCTCCCTTCCCTCCCCCCCTCACCTCCCCTCTGTCCCTTCTCACCCGTCCATTCCCTCCCCTCCCTTCCCCCTCTCACCTCCACTCTGTCCCTTCTCACCCCTCCATTCCCTCCCCTCCCTTCCCCCTCTCTCCTCCCAACCTCCCTACTCCCTCCTATCCTCCCTCCCCCCTCTCTTACCTCTCCCTCCTTCCTCCTCCCTCTCCCCTCTCTCCCCTCCCTCCTTTCTCTCCCCTCTCTCTGGTGTTTAAGTAGCAATAGTAAATAGAGTTTGAGTGCTGGCTATGCAGAGCCCATTCTGCAGCCTTGCAGGGGCTGATCTTGCTGGTGGTGATGACTGGGCAGGTAGCCTGTCTTCTCATCAAACTGCAGGCGCCTGAAGGGCAGGAGCTGCGCCTTTCACCTGTGTGTCCCCAGCCCCTGGCTCAGCGTGGATGCTCAGCCAATCCCTGCTGCGTGGGTGACGGACTTGGCAATGGCGTCACCATGACTGCCTTCCTTTGGCCTCTGCCCAGAGCCAGGCAGCTCTATCAGGACCCCTGCTCTGCCCTCTCTGCACTGAGGGGCCCCAGCCCTCCCTCCACCAGGAGCTTCTCCGAGCCTTCCCTTGACCACCAGCCCCAGAATCGCTGGAGTGGGAAGCCTGTTTGACCTCTGGTTCCCACGCCCCTCGCAGCCCTGCTGCCCTGGACTCCCTCCAAGGCCTCCTGTGCCACAGGGTGAAGGCCGCCGGCCTACAGAACAAGGGTCTGATGCCACCCCGGCATCCCAGGCCCCTGGATGGTGGCCCCAGGCCCCTCCTCGTCCTTACCCGCCTCAGCCCTAAGGGATTCCTCCCGGTCCCCTCACCTTCCCTGGTGCCCACTCGGGCCTCCTGAGGGAGGTGGGAGGCCAGGATGCGGGCTTGTGCGGGGCAGTTGCTTATCCAGCCACAGGCCATGAAGAACACTGACTTCCCAGAAGCGGCCCTGGAAGAGCCCGGCCAGGCTTGCAGCCAACTTCCACTTTCCTCCGATGTTTTCACTTTCGGGGCATGTTGTTTGAGTGGAGATTCCTCCTTCTGCACATGGGGCTTTCCAGAAGGTTCGCAGCTGCTTCCATGCAGCCACGGGGCCTGTCCCCAGTCAAGGCCTCCCAGCCCCGGGCAGAGGATGTCCTGGCTGCCGGCTGCCAGGGGCGCTGCCCGGGCTCTCCGGAGGAGGATGGTGGTGTGGTCCCTGTGGCTTCCCCTTCTCTGGGCAGGTGAGTGGGGCGGGCGAGCGGCCTGTCCTCCAAGAGCTGACCCCTCGGGCCGCCCCCGCCAGATGTCTGTGCAGGGTCCCCCAATCCCAAGGAAGAACCCAGGCACCGGGAGGGGTGGGGAATAAGGATGCAAGTTTGGGGGCCGAGGCTCAGAGATGCAGGGTCCTGGGTGGAAGGAGGCACAGCCCTGGGAGAACCCATGTCCGGGAGACTTGAGCTGCTCTGTGGCCCAGGGCTGTTGAGACGGAGGCTGGAGGCACCAGTGGTTTGGAAAGGGCTGGCTGTGAGAATGGTGGGGGTCTGACAGTGTTAACACGTGAGAATTCTAAATACAGCCTGAGGAGCACAGGGGAGGGCAGGGCAGGACAGGGATCTTTCCATCTGAGGATGCAGTTCCTCAGCCTGTGGGAAGCCGGGGCCCATCCTGAGGCGTGTGTACGGGATACTGAGTAGGATGAGAGGTAAGTTTAAGGCAGCACACGTGGGCCTGGAGGGCGGATCATCTGGTGTGGGATACCTGCCTGTTGGGTCTCTTCAGCCCCAGGCAATTCCTCTAGGCCAGTGGTTGGCAAACTCATTAGTCAACAGAGCCAACTAGCAACAGCACAACGATTGACATTTCTTTAGAGAGCCAAATTTTTTTAAAACTTAAACTTCTTCTAGGGCCACTTCTTCAAAAAAGACTCGCCCAGGCCGTGGTATTTTGGGAAGAGCCACACTCAAGGGGCCAAAGAGCCGCATGTGGCTCTCGAGCCGCAGTTTGCTGACCACGGCTCTAGTCTGTCTGGTGCCCGACTTCCCTCCTGTGGATGAGACGAGCTCAGTGTGACGCGGCTCAGGACCTCAAGGCCAGGGCACGGGCGTCCAGGGGTGTGGCAAAGACAGAGACACCTTTGTCCGCCTCAGACTCAGTGGCTTTGAGGTGACTTTGTCCAGGGTCCCTCCAGAGTCTCCAACCTAGAGAGCTCCAATCTCTCCTGATGTCACCATTTCTAAACATGGGAAGAGAATGCCTTAAAAAAAGGAAGTCTGTTTGGTTCAAAAATCTTTCAAACCCTTGCTTTTGGGAGACAAAAATCATTTTGCCAAAAGCCTCTTGATGATAAACGAGGTGAGTGCAACGTGTGTGCGCACCCCTGGCTTTGTGGAGGGGAAAGGGGGAGCCCGGGGAGGAGTGTGATTGCTGGAGCTTGAACTGGCTCAGGAGTCCTGCCTGCCACCAGTGCCATCTCTCCTCTCCGTCCTGTCTCTACTCTGCATCCCCTGGAAGTCACCGAAAACCAAGTCGGAGGTGATTTGTGCCAGGGAGGGCAGAGAGGCGCGTGAGGGGTTGAGTGGCCAGGGGCTGGTTGAGTGGCCATTCAGAATACGCCTCCTTCACCGCACTCCCAGCACCTGGGTGTGTCCTGCCTGTCCTCCCATTCTGCCCTGCCTGCCTGTGCCCACCACTGCGCCAGGCACGAGGTACATCCACAGATCCTGCCATCCGTTCTGTAAAACTTCCTGAGTTTCTACATCCTCCTCCTGAGCAGCGTGGACACGGGGAGTGCAGAGACGGAAAGAGGAACTCACAGGCCAGCGGGAGACACTGACTCAGAGCCAGGCGATAACTACAGAAATGAGGCCAATTCATAGCAAGGATCCCGGGCTGCTGAGGGCACACGGAGAATGAGTGTGGAGCCTGCAGGGATGGATGGGGGATTAGGGAACCCTGATGCTTCAAGGATGAGCAGCAATGAGCCAGTGGAGGAGGCAGGGCGCACTTCAAGCAGCGGCATCGGCCACTTGCCTCACACTCAGCATGTTCCGGCAGCCCTCAGCACCCTCCACCCTCCCGTTCTGTGTCTCCTCCTGCTCTGCATCGCAGAGACCTGGCACCGTGTGGGTTCCCAGGGCCCGGGAGCCATCCTTGCCTCCTTTCCCCTTCACTTCGCAGACCCAGTCTACTACCAGACCCCGCTGATGACGCTTCTTTATCTCTCACTTCCTGCACCTCTTCCCCCCTCTTCCCGCTCCCCCTCAATACAAACTGCCATCCCTCACCTTTGGATTAAGCAGGGGTGGGGAGCCTCTTTCTAAGGGCCATTTGGATATTTATAACATCATCCGAGGGCCATACAAAATGATCAACTTAAAAATTAGCTGCTCTGTGGGTCAAACATTGAATGAACTCACCCTAATGTCATGGCACAGCCAATGACTGTGGGCCTTATAGGGCCCGAGGACCGAGTGTTCCCCACCCCTGGGTTCACAGAAGCAGCCTCAGGTTTGCCCACCTACAGGCCTCCTCTGCCCACTGCTGGAATGATCTAACAGGCCTCCGATCCTGTTACTCTTACTGACTAGTAAAACCTATTCTAGGGCCTTCATGGCTCAAATGATAAAGCCCAAGTGTCAATGTCACTTTCAGGGCCCTGCACAATCTGGTTCTCTCTGTAAAACTCACTGGGTTTCTACATCGCAACCCTGGAGCACTATATATATATATATATATATATATATATATATATATATATATATATATATTTTTTTTTTACAGAGGAAGAGAGAGTGATAGAGAGTTAGAAACATCAATGAGAGAGAATCATTGATCAACTGCCTCTTGCACACCCCCCACTGGGGATGTGCCTGCAACCAAGGTACATGCCCTTGACCGGAATCGAACCTGGGACCCTTCAGTCTGCAGGCCGAGGCTCTGTCCACTGAGCCAAACCGGTTTCAGCTGCAGCACAATTCTTACTCCCCCTGCAGAGAACTACTTTCAGCCCTCCTCTGCTTCCCCACCCTCCCACAGCGCACATGCTCGCACCCTCCAGACCTTCTGACATGCTGTCCCTTTTGCCTGTGACGCTTCCCATCCCTGTGCCAGGCAGCCCTCTGCTTGGCCTGGCAAATCCCGCTTCTCCTTTGGCCTCAGTTTCCCTGAACCCCTCCAGACCAGGTGAGGTTACACTATCACGCTGCCTGTGTTCTCCCAAAGCGGCCCCTTTTCCCATGATGGCACTTGGCTCACTATGTTAATTGCTGTATTTTAATACATGTTAATTGCTTGGCTTCCTCTCTGAGCTCCGTGAGCAACAGGTATGAATTCTTTTTCTTAATTTTATTCCCAGCCCCTGGGACAGCGTATTCTCAACCTAAGAGGAGGGAATGGGGGGAGAGGAGCACCAATGTGCTCCGTGCTGCGTGCAGGGGAGACTGAGGAGCCTGGGGCAGGCGGAGTGACGTGGCTGTGTTGTTCTTGCAGCACCACTTCCTGTCGCCACTACTGGTGCCCAAGTGCAGGGCCAGGTTGGGGGCTCGGTACTGCTGGCGGCAGAGTGCCACCCCGGCTTCCACGTCCGAGAGGCCATCTGGCGGTCCCTCTGGCCCTCGGAGGAGCTCCTGGCCACGTCTTTCCGGGGCGTCCTGGAGACACGGTACCACTCCCGCTTCCTGGGCCGCACGCAGCTGCACCGCAACCTGAGCCTGCAGCTCGGGCCGCTGGAGCCCGGAGACAGCGGCAACTTCTCGGTGCTGCTCGTGGACACCGGAGGCCGGATCTGGACCCAGATCCTGCAGCTCAAGGTGTATGGTGAGTGTGCCCGGCTCTCTAACCACCTTCCCTCACAAAGTCCTGGAAGGGCATTTGGAGTCCTGGGAGCTGGAGAACTGGGTTCCAGAAACCTCTGACTCCGTGGCTGATTCAGAGTCTCCTGCAGCCACATCTAAGGAAACCCCTCAGGGTCGCCCAGGTGGGCTCCGATCGGGAGCAGCCTGGTTCTATAGTCCTAGTCTGAACCCCAACGTGGCACTTTCTGGACTCCATGGTCTTGGACACAAGGCTTAGTTCCGACATTCGCTGTCTCGTTAGTCAAGCGGGTATCTCGATGTTACCACACAGATGCTCAGGACAGTGAGGTACAATGGCGCTTGGGAAAGCAACTGGGACAGAAGTTGGCCTCACCAGTTCACAGGTATCCGATAAAGACATGCCATTAATTTACATGCCCCTGAAAAGGAAAAATATTGCCAATTAAACTATGGCACTATATTTTTATTTAAACTTATAATCCAATTGTAGTTAGAAGTACATAATTTTTATTTTCTATTGATATTTTTAAAAGAGTTATTCAAGATGCATTTAGAGATCTTCACTATATAGGATATTCATGGGTTCTTTCAGTCGTTCATTGCTGCAACACATACCATCCCCAATCTTATCAGCTAAAGACAGTTATCTTATTTCTCACAATTCTGCAGCTTAGCCGGGCTCAGCCAGGCAGACCTCTGCTCCAAGTGCAGGGTCATTTATGCAGCCTTGTTCAGCGCCTCTGCTCAGGTGTCTGAATTCACTGGGGACAGGAAGGGTCTTTCTTTTCCAGCAACTTCACCTCCACCTCCATCACAACCACCTCTACCATAACCTCTACCACTATCACTACCTCCATATCTTCTTCCTCCATTATCATTTCCATCAACACCATCTTTCTCCTTCATCACCCTACCACTATCACCGCCTCTACCTCCACCATCACTTCTACCACTAACTCTACCTCCACATGTTCCTCCACCATCACCACCTCCACCTTCACTACTTCCTCCTTCATCACCCTCTCACCACCTCCATCTCTACCCCCACTACCTCCACCACCACTACCATCTCCACCTCCATTATCATTTCTACCACTATCGCTATCTCTACCTCCACCTCCACCACTTCCACTACTACCTCCACCTCTATCTCCACTACCCCCACCATCACCTTCACCTTCACCTCCACCATCACTTCTACCACTATCACTACCTCCACATGTACCTCTACCATCTCCACCTCCATCATCATTTCTACCACTATCGCTATCTCTACCTCCACCTCCACCACTTCCACTACTACCTCCTCCTCTATCTCCACTACCCCCACCATCACCTTCACCTCCACCTCCACCAACACTTCTACCACTATCACTACCTCCACATGTACCTCTACCATCACTACCTCCACCTTCACCATCTTCCTCCTTCATTACCCTACCACTATCACCACCTCCACCTCCACCATCATTTCTATCATTATCACTATCTCTATCTCTACCCTCACCACTCCACTATCACCTTCACCTCTATCTCCATTATCTCCATCATCTTCACTGCCACCACCACTGCCACCTCTACCTCCACCATTACTTCTACCACTAGTACTATTTCTACCTCTACCTCCACACCTCCACTATCACCTCCACCTCTACCACTTTTACTATATTTCTGCTGGTCAGTCAAGAAAAAGCAATGGCCTTCCAGCTCTCAATTAGATACCTAGTGGCTTGGAAATGATATGTGAAAGACCCCAAAGCACAATTTTAGTAAAACCTTGAAAGTTGGTAGATGGAGGGGAGGAAAAGTTTCAAATTCAGGAATGGAGAGTAGGGGTGACAGCTAGGAAGAGGGAAACAATGAGGGAGAGAAAGGCAGTAGCAAATTGGGAGAGAGAGAGACACCCCTCCCCCTCCCTGAGATAGCTAACTGGCTGCCACTCAGGGTGCTAATAAGCAGTTAGACGGGTGTCCTTCTGGATGCATGCGGCCCTGAGCCAGGAGTACAGTTCAGCAAACAGAGTGCTGGCTGGATTTCAGCACCCTCACCTTCCCCATTACCCCCTGGCCAGTGCCCTTGTGCAGTGAGTAACCTACACAGGCAGCCCCGGAGTGTCTCCCTTGTTGAATCTCAGCTGTAGCACATGGGGAATGAGGACACTGAGCGTGAGAACACTTGCAGCACCCACACTGCCAGGCTCAGAATGCCTTGTTCTCAGCATCCGAATTACAAATTGTAAGGAAATTGCTGTTTTATTGCTTCCAAATGCAGAGCGTGATTAGAACTAATTGCACCAAGCTGCCAAACAGCCGTCCTCAGGAGCTCTGTTCTGACAATAGATAAAGAAGGATTCGAATTAGCAGATCAGTTACCAGAAGTGTCAATGTGCTCATCGTGTTTGGAAGCAGCTTGTCCTCCTAAGGAGAATAAATATCTCCCCTGTCATCTTTGTTTATACTATCAGTGTGCCCAGCGTTTTGTTTTCTTTTTTCATATTCCAAATCCCAACACATGGAGCTGCCATTCAGGAGGATTTACTCTGCTTGACTTCAGAACGCTGTCAGACATGGAGTCCTCTCCTTGTCACCAAAATGCTCTCCCGCTGGCCTTCAGAGCCAGGGAGACCCGGGATTTTCTCACCAACCTACGTAGGAAAGGGGAGTCAGATCACCAGTTTATTCAATGGCCCAGGTAGCTGAGCACCGGAGAGAGTGGGGGTTATGAAGATAACGAGACAGAGCCCCTTCGTGGCCCTATTTTCGCCATTGCAATTATTTTCTTAACCATTTATAACCACTTGAAGTATTTGTCTTCCTCACCAAACTCTAACATCAAAAAGTCCAGGCATGTGTATGATGGGTTGCTACTGCTACTGTTGTGTTGTTTTTTGCCTGATGTAGTAAATGCTCTCTGGTTGATCTGTCATGGGGAAAGTGCTATGACAGGAGACAGGCAGGGGACTTGGAAAGCTCAGCCCCACACCTGGAGTATTAGGGAAAGCTTCATGGTCAGGGCAGCAGGCAAGGTGTCCACACTGGGCCCACTATTTTCCAGGGGGCCAAGAAGATAAAGGTGTGTGCGCACTGCTGAGACACATGAAAGCATGGAAGAGCATGACATGCTTGAGAGAGCTGGAAATGATGTAGGAGCGGTGGGGAGGACCAGCAGGAGGGACAGCTGGAGAGATGGACATCAACCATTTTATGAAGGAATTTGAATCCCACACTTAGGAATTCAGCTTTGGTCCTGTGGTCAATGGGAAGTCAGACAAGGTATTGGAGCAAGAGTGGACTCAACAGTGGTGTTATCTGCCCCGGCGTGGATCCCAGAGCCAAGGCGGGGGTCCTGTCCAGCACCCCGGTAACCCAGACCTGTTCTACTATTTTTGCCCAGCTGCAGTACCCAGGCCCATGGTTCAAGTGTTCATTGCTGTATCTCAGCCCCCCAAGACCTGCCAAGCATTCCTGTCCTGCTGGGTCCCCAACATCAGTGACATAACCTATAGCTGGCGACTGGAGGGCTCCATTGACTTTGGTATCGAGCCAGATGGCCTCTTCACGGATGGTCAGGTGTTGAGGGTTTCGCTGGGACCAGAAGACAAGGGCATGGCCTTTTCCTGCGTTGTCTCCAACCCCGTCAGCTGGAATTCGACCATAGTCACCCCCTGGGAGAGCTGCCATCATGAGACAGGTACACCACGGGCCAAGGGTTGGTGTGGGATAGTGAAGCATCAAGTCCACTTCTGACCCTGCCCCTTCCATGTCCTGCCCCAGGGAAGGCCTCCTACAAGGATGTGTTCCTGGTAGTGGTGCCCGTCTTGCTGCTTCTGATCCTGGCTGGTCTCTCTGCCTGGTACCGGTGCCCCTGCTCAGGTGGGAGTTATGCGCATGCTGGAGGTGGGTGGGAGCTAAGCCTACTGGGAAGATGGGCAGAATTAGATCTCTTCCTATTTGTCTTTGGATTGTCTGCCCTCCGTACCACTCCCACCTCATCTCTTGGCTCTCTCCATCTTGCATTCTGGCCTCCAGTCAGAATTGAAGTTCCTTTTATAATTCTTCAAGTGAACTATTCTCTTATATACATCTTTGGGCCTTTGCAAATTCCATTTTCCCTGTCTGGAACACACTTTCCATGATTTCCCACTCAACCCCTTCATTAGATTATGTCCTATAAGATCTATATTTTATTATATTTCAAAGAGGGGGTGGGGAGAGAAAGAGATAGAAACATCAATCATGAGAGAGAATCACTGATTGGCTGCCCCTACACTCCCCACAACAGGGATCAATCCCAAAACCTGGGCACATGCCCTGACCGGGAATTGAACTGTGACCTTCTGGTTCATAGGTCGAAGCTCAACACTGAGCCACACTGGCTGGCTAATGTTCTGCTTTTAACGCCCATCATTTACCCCATTCACAGCACTGATTGCACTTACTCTCCCACTAAATTTTTAGCCATTTAAAGGCAAATGCTGAGTCACCACTGGACATTTAGTAATAGTTTCCGTTACATAGCTGTATCAATAAAGGTTTGTTGAGCAAAAGTTTAGTCATATCCCAACCCCTTGTTGCCTAGGAAATATTCTCTGAGCAAAGTGCTTGTCTGGCTGGGAGCTGCTAGTGCCTCTTTGTCAAGGAGAAGAAAGGGGAACCTCAGAGGTCAGCCAGGTTCTGAACTCTACACCCGTCAGCCCTGCCTTTGCCCTAATGCCCTGCCCCTGTGGCTCCCTGGTTATGTGCATCCAGGCTGTGTGGGCTTGCTGGCCCACGGTGGAGAGAGCAGTCAGCAAGGAGAAGGAGACATGAGACCTGAGTCGCTAGCGTAGAGCTGGAGCAGAGAACTGGCTTTTGTATGTTCTTTCCCTAGGGATGGGGGAAAGCAGTGAGTCAAACTCCATCCAGGGGCCCTGTCTGTCCCAGGCAGTCCCCGGAATTTATGTAGAAGCCGGAAAAGAGCAGCTTTTTGTTTGAACAGCTTTATTGAAATATAATTTACATACCATACAGTTCACCCATTTAAAGTGCATACAATTCAGTGGCTTTTATTGTATTCACAGAGTTGTGTTATCCATCACCACAATCAATTTTAGGACATTTTAATTGCCCCAAAACCCCTTGGCCATCCCTCCCTAATCAACCTTCTCTCACTCAAGGCTCAGGAAAGAGTGGCTTCGGCCACCGAGAAGGACAGAAAGAACCCAACATCCTCACAGGAACTCCAGAGCTGGCTCTGGCTCTGCCATGTGGGCTTCTGGCCACTTAATTATACTTTTTACAGTTAAATGCCTGGCATAGTTGCAGAGAGAGGCTAGACAGTAGGAAGAACTACTTGTCTTTGAAGCATCTCCTTTTCCATGGTCTTGATAAAACGGGGTAAGGGAAGGATGGGGTTGTGGGTTTGGGGTTTTTTTTACTGAAGTGATCTTGGGCCAGGCCAAGGTTACTAAGATTCTAAACATTGAAGGGGTAACCTTTTTTCCGATCTCCTTGCAGGGAGAAAGAAGGATGTCTGTGCTGATGAAGACACTCTACAGACAGAGAACCCCCTTGTGTAGGGTCTGCCGTGAGGGAGGAGATAAACTGATGTGGGATCATGAGGAACCCCACTGCCCAGACACATGATGGCTCAGGACACAGCTGGTGCCTGGAAGCTACCATGGTCCTTGTAGCTCCTGTGAGACTCCGTTCCACTCTCCAGGGGCACCTGGGCAGCTGACACATTGGGAGGACAGAAAACATTGGAACAACTTTCTCCCTTCCCTCTCCCCTTATTGCGGGCCCTGGCTTTGGTCTGGGCAAAATGGGCCTAAGAAGATATTCCCTAAAGGACACTGGACATTCTCCAGGATCCACATGGCCAGTGACTGTCCAGGGATTCACCTCGCACCACTGTATTTGTTGAAGTTCTAACTCCAATTTCTCAAAATATGACTATTTAGAGATAGGGCCTTTAAAGATATGGTTGAGGTTAAATGAAGTCAGTGAAATAGGGCCCTAATTTAATATGCCTGGGGTCCTTATAAGAAGAAGGAGCAACACCAGAAATGCACACACAGAGAGAAAACAGCCATGGGATGACACGGAGAGAATGAAGCCAAGGAGTGAGGCCTCCATAGACACCAAACCAACTGATACAGTGATCTTGGACTTTCGGTCTCCAGAACTGTGAGAAGATAAATGTCTGCTGTGTAAGTCACCCAGTCAGTGGTACCTTGTTATGCTAGCCCTGACAGACTACCCTGCAGCAAAGGATTGCCTCCAGCCTGAGTCCCAGGCTTTAGGAGACATTAGACCTCTGAACTAACTGTGACTATGAATCTCCCACATCCAGCCCCAATCCCAGCCCTAGCCCCAAACTCCTCTAGTTTGAGATCCCCATGCTTCCTGATGACCAAGGCATTGTCATAAGAAAAGGTCTAGAAATAGGTGAAGGTGGGAGGTGAAGGACAAAGGTTTCTCTTTCTGGCCTGAAAGGCTTTCAGGTCATCTGAGTTCATGACCCTCAAAGGAAATGTACAGTTATAGACCATCAAAGGGCGGTTTCTATCTCATGGTTGGGATGGGTACCATTTTAGAGGAACACCTTTTTGAAGATAACACCTTTTTAATAGATAACCACCATCTCTGTTAACTATCATGTCTTCTATAGGATCTGGGAGTGGGACTTGAAATTCTTGCCTTCAGTGACCAGAAAAAAACAAACAAACAAACAAACACAAAAACCACATATTAAATTTGCCCCAGCCAAAGTTTTTGCACAACTTCAAGAAAAGCAGCTCACCTGGCCAGTTTGACTCAGTGGATAGAGCATCAGCCTGCAGACTTAAAGGTCCCGGGTTTGATTCTGGTCGAGGGCACATGCTTGGGTTGTGGGCTCAATCCCCAGTGTAGAGAGTGCAGGAGGCAGCTAATCAGTGATTCTCTCTCATCATTGATGTTTATATCTCTCGCTCCTTCTCCCTTCCTCTCTGAACTCAATAAAAAATATATAAAATAATAAAAAAATAAATTTTAAAAGAGAAAAAGAAAAGCAGCTCTGTTTGAGGTGAGTGTCTCTATCTGAGACTGAGAAAGAAAAGAGCTAGGAAAATCTAAGCAGAAAAGAAAATCTGAAGGGGAAGGGCACTGAAGCATCCTGGCATCTGGCACACTAATTTTCAAATGCAAGTGCAGAGGATCCACCCAAGTCCAAGGAGAGAGGGAAAAGACCCCACAACTCAAAGGGAATATGGTCATGGTGACTTTTAAAGAAGAGCTTGTTTGATTAAAGCAATTATTGTGGCCATCTTTGGAAAATACTATCTTCCACTGAGTGATTCTGTCTAGAATAGCTCTGGGGTATTGCCACTGTGGAAAAAAAATTCGATGAGCTAAACTTTAGAATTAGTAGGTGATAAAGTTCACAGTTACTCCCTTCCACATATAACAGGATTTTTTTTTTTCCTTGGGGCCTCACTCAACTCTTGATAATAGAGAGGTAGGAGGCATTGAGTAAACAGAGTAGGTTTTGAAGTATTTTCCAGGATGGCTTTGTTCATTCCACCCAGGAGGTTAGTCCAGTCCAAGGATCTTCCCTCTTCACCTCAATTCCTGTGCAGTCACTTCACCTGGGAACACTGGTCAATGCAACTGGCCTTCAGATTCATCTTGCCACTCCTCCATTGATTTAGTCCTGGATTTTCCATGCCTGTTAGCTCTGCTGAGAAGTCTCCTGCTGGTCTGCTGGTTTTATTTGTCTTCATGCCTTTCCTGTAGCCACTTCTCTCCCATCACCCCCAAGTCCACTTGAGCATGCACATGGCCACCCAACCTGGCAGTTGGTGTTGCCCCCACCTGCCAGCTAGTGAATCATGCAAAACTGGCCTCAGTTCCTAAAATTATGTGAAAGAGAAAGCCCAAGATCTAGCAAGGGGCCATGGTGGTTGTATAAAGGATACACACACACACATACACACACACACACACACATCACGCCCCACCTTACTTTCCTTCATCCCAGAGTCCCATCTCAGATCAGAGAAGCTGTGGATGGGGTGGGGCTCCCAGTTCTCCTTCACAAGGTAACTAGTAACCTCATTCAGACAATGGTTTTGTAGGGAGGTGCACCAGGACCTTTTTCAGCAGATCTATCTTGTTTAAAAAAATTGATGTTCTCATCCCCAGTGACTCACTTGTCAACTAGCAGACTAATTAACCTCCTTTGAGAAAAACTCAAAGTGCTTCTGTGAGAACAATATATGGGTTAATAGGCATTTGGATTGATGCTTTAAAAGTCACACAAGAACAAGTATTGATTAAGGGTCAAGTGTGTGCTGGACGCACTTCAAAACACGAGGTAATCACCAGTGGACAAAGCAACGCCCTTCCTTTATAGAGTTATATTCTTGATAATAAATAAGCAAATAAATGTATGCCAGGTGTTTATAGGTTCTATTAAAAAAGATCAGCTGAGTGAAAGACTAGCAAATGATATGTTGAGGAGAGGGGGTCCAACTTTGGATACGGTGATTAGAGAACACTTTCAGATGAGGTGATCTTGGAACAGAAACCCAATGAAGTAGAGTGAGCCATGCAGCGTCTGGGAAAAAGGGAACCCCAAGACCAGAAGATGGAAAGACCCTTAAGAGAGAGCATGGCTGGCATTTATGAAAAGTAGAATGGAGGCCAAGGCTGATGGGTCAAAACAAGAGCATGAGGTTTTATTTTGCTTGTTTATTTCTTGCTTTTTTGTTTTATTCCACATATGAGTGACATCATATGGCTTTTCTGTCTGACTTATTTTACTTAGCATAATACCCACAAGATCCATCCATGTTGTTGCAAATGGAAATATTTATTATTTTTTATGGCTGAGTAATATTCCATTGAATATATATGTACCACCTCTTCTTTGTGCTTTTGTCTACTGATGGACACTTAGGTTGTTTCCATATCTTGCCTATTATCAATAATGCTGCAATGAACATAGAAGTTTATATATCTTTTCAAGTTAGTGTTCTCATATTCTTCAGATAAATACCAAGAAGTGAAATTGCTGGGACATATGATAAATATTCTTAATTTTTTATATAAATATATTTTATTGAGGAAGGGAGAGGGAGAGTCAGAAACATCAATGGTGATAATCATTGATTGGCTGTCTCTTGCATGCCCCCTACTGGGGTCAAGCCCTCAACCCAGGCATGTGCCCTTGGCAGGAATTGAACCTGCAAACCTTTTAGTCCACAGGCTAATGGTCCATCCATTGAGCCAAACCAGCTAGGGCTATATTCTTAATTTTTTTTAGGAACCTCCAAATTGTTTTCATAGTGGCTGCACCAATTTGCAATCCCACCAACAATGCACAAGGGTTCCTTTTTCTCCACATTGTTGCCAACACTTGTCCTGTTGATAATAGCCATTCTAACAGGTGCGAAGTTGATCCTATTGTGGTTTTGATTTATATTTTTCTAATAATTAGTGATGTTGAGCATCTTTTTACATGCCCATTGACCATCTGTATGTATTCCTTGAAAAAAGGTCTATTCAGGTTCTCTGCCCATTTTTTAATTGAGTTGTTTGTTTTCTGTTGTTGTTGAATTATATGTTTTTTATATATTTTGGATATTAACCCCTGAACATAAATATCATTTGCAAATATTTTTCCATTCAATTGGATGCCTTTTGTTTAAAATTAAAATATAACAAACGAAACAACACAAAAACAAGCCCACAGATACAGACCACAGAATGGTGGTTACCAGAGGGGAAGGGGGTACGAGAAGGGTGAAATGGGTAAAGGTGAAGAATTATAACATTGTACACCTGAAATTATTTAATGTTATTAATCAACTAGAGGCCAGATGCATGAAATTCATGCATGGGGCTCGGCCCTTGCAGCCCTGGCTTTGTACCTTCTGTTCAGCTGTCTCATCTAATTAGCATATATGCTCTTATTATTATAGATGTTACCTCAATTAAAATAAATAAATTAAAAAACAAGGGGCTTAGAGTGGAAGGGGAGTGTCAGAGTAATGGTGTTGGGCCATAGCACATGGGACCTTGGGTCTTCACAATACCCCTTTCCTGGGGTGAGGATGGCCAGGAGAGCCCCATGGCAACCTTTGTACTATTATTTCCAATAGGCTCGTGGTCAGACCAGAGTCGTCTCCAAATGTTTTTGCTATATTTTTCTTAGGCAAGACCCTCTGTATCTGTCCTTCTGTGCAAAGGACAAATACAAGAGCTGCTGGGGCAAAGGTGTCATGTGACATGATGTCAGAAAGAAAGGAGAGGGCTAGAGAAAAGAAAAGGGTAAGAGAGACATCATTTTAATCAATGGAGACAGGAGCACCCAGTGCCTTGTTTAAAAACAATGGCTGCAAACATTCATGACATCGCTGGCAGATCTTCCTCCCACTGTTATTAGAAGTAGCACCTGTTCGGTTCATCAGCACTTGGTAACTTACTGGTCTTCAGAGAAACACCATCTCCCTCCAGCTCTGTTCTGCATGCAGCCTGAAATAGGGCCTCTAAAACAGCACATCCCCAGATTCGGCACAGTCTCAGCAGATGCCTCCCCTCAGATTGTGCACTGCTCACCTGGGTCCCATCTGCCAGGAGGGCCAGACGGAGCACAGGGGTGAGTAGTGGGGACACTCCCACTGCACAACCGGCTGTCAGGTTCTGGAAGGCACACTTCACTTCCAGGGAGACCCTGGAAAACTTCAACGTCCAGAAGAGAATGACCACGGTGGTGAAAAGTCTAAAAGCCTAATCATTCGAGAAACGATTAAAGAAACCGGTCATGCCGCAGTCCCCAGATAGTCAAAAGGCTCTCCTGCAAGCCACGTTGTGTAGCTGATGCCAGGGGAACATGACACTGAAAGGCAAATATTGACTCATGACTAATAGCCAAAGCTGGAAGGAGACTTTGTGGTTACTCACTTCATGTTTCATTTCTCAGGTGGAAAACTGAAGTCCAAATAGATTGTTACTCGCTGGAGTTACATAATAAAGTCAGTGACAGAGTCAGAGTCAGCATTAACTTTCTAAATCAGTCTAGCCCCTTCCCAGGAAGGACTTAATAACAAATGTAGAATAGGAAGTGAGCTGTTTCAATGAATGTGCCTAAGCAGAAATCACCTCAGAACAATGCTATATAGATGAGACCCTGCACAAGTTTGGCGGGAAGTTGTATTCAATAAAGAACCTGCCTCCCAAGGCCATGTTGAATGTAGATAAATTAATTGTGGCACACTCTTCCCACTGAGTCCACATGCAGTACATCAAGTAACTTCAACAGTTCATTGAAGTGGGGAGCCAAGATTAAACCAATCTTCCATTCCTGCCCTAGACACCCCTCAAGATCCTTCTGACATGGAGAATGAATTAAAAATTAAAGAAAGAATGAGTGCATAGACAGTGGGACAAAAGAGGCCACTGAAGGGATCTGGCTAGGGTGTCAGAACAATCTGTGCTTCCTATAAAGTAGAGTTAATCTAGCTCCCTTTGTTCTGCCATTCTCCTCAGTATATAGATCAGGAAATAGATCAGAACTGGAAACAAAGGAGAGATTAATGGGGAGTCGTAGTACTAAAGCAGAAGAGCATAAAAGCAGTCAGATAAATTGCGATCACAGCGCCATTTAAGAAATCATGTTCTTTAGAATATTTCAGAATAATGGGACACTTGTATCAGTTAGAGTTCTTTGGACTCAGGCAAAGAAGCCAACTCTAGTTTTAAACTAAAGCAAAAGAAGGAATTATTAGAAAGGCGTGGGTAGAGAAGTGTCTTGGTCAGTGCAGGCTGCTGTAAAAGAATGCCATAGTCTAGGAGGCTTATAATCAACAGACATTTATTTCTCACAGTTCTGGAAGCCGAAGTCCAAGATCAAGGCACCAGCAGAGTTA